TCTGGCTCTCTTCTCTCTCTCTCTGCTCTCTGTCTCTCTCCTCTCTGTCTGTCTAGATGAAGGCATCCATGCGTCTCTGCGGCGGGCGGTGATGCGAGGATTACTAAATTTATTGTTTTTAATGTTTTTTCTTTCTCGTATCGAATATTATAGGACTGGACGATTGTACATCATACTGTCGGAAGAAGGACGCGTGTGACAGCGACGAGAGGACGACTGTGACGCCTCACAGATGTAACACGACGGCTCAGGTACTGTAATGTGACGCGCTGGCTGCTGTGTTATTAAATAAATAGTATAAATGTAAATAATGTATATCAAGAGCTAATACGAGTAATACTTGTATTAATTTAGGTCTTGATTTTAATGTTATTAATATTTATTTTTATGTAAATATATATATATATTATATAATAATTAATAATTTAATGATAATATAAAGTACATATATTACATTTGTAATGTACCCTGGCGGCGGCGGGGGGGGAGGGGAATTAACGTTGACAGCTGGCGGTCCGAGCGAAGATGCCCTCGCCAACATGGCCGCCAGTTAACGGCTGGCATTGTTTTCTGTCTGCGTACGCCCAACATCGCGAGCGGTGGTGTCCGCATGAGAGTGGCTCGCACGCCGGTGACGCCGACGAGGGGCGCTGGTGGGCGAGTAAACTTGTCAATCGCTGTTATCAGTAGTTTAATGTTTTAACGAATCGATTTGTGTTTTAGCGACGATCTAACGACGAAACAGGTGAAATTGAGAAGGCAGCATCTTCGTCAATAGCCAGTATAAAACAACACGCTTTGTTCGCAGAGACGTTGATGCAAATAGTTTTATGACGTTTGAAGCAGAAATTACGTGTCTATAACGCGCATTCGAAAAACACAGAAATTGATTATTCTTCTAAGAGATTGTTGAGCACGAAACTAGTGTTGTGCTGTTCCATTGTCAAAATCTCAGCAAAATAGCATACATCAAGTAATTGCCATCTAACTAAGACAACACAACAGAAATCAAAGTGTCCGCCGAAAAACCATGGTTAACTAAATTTATAACTAAATCACAATGAAACCTCAAAGCATAAATTGATAATAAATATTATACTAGTGATTTTTGTGTATTGACGAATCGACTCTAAATCCGTTGTGCTGCGTTCTTTAGGGAGTTTAAAACCGCAATACTTGAAATTTTTAAACGCCACGCTATTAAATAGCCTTTACTAATTTATATTATTCAATCTTTAATGCACTCACTAATTGGCGAATTAAATTCCGATATTCCGTCAGGCCCGACGATTCATCACTCGTACTTCGTTCCGATTCACAAACAAACCTGAGCGTCCGACGACGACACGACGACGACCGACGATGGCGCCGACGACAGTGAGGAGTCGACAACGCGCGCTACGTGGCCCTTGCCGATCGCAGCTGACGGCCTACAGCGCCACCTGTGACGTGGGGAGCGCACTGCAGGCGGAGGCACAGCTAGAGGCTCTGGATCGATGATGAGGAATTGTGTGAGGCGTCAGATCACGGCAATAATCACATAAGAGAGAGATCGCTTACTGTAGAATGACCTGACATCTCTACGGCCAGTATACTAACCGCGCACAAGCATTCGCATGCTTCATTCACCCTACCACCCCCACATTCACCGCACCCACGCATAACCTTACTGCCCCTCACAGTCCCACCCACTCACACATAGCGACTACCACCCCCACAGTATCAGCTATACGTCACCCATAAATCCTACCCAACCACACAGAGGCAGTGCAACCCCAACCCTTCCTTAACCCTTTCGTGTATGCGTCGAGGACACAGCCTTCTCAAACGCCTTGCTTGCATTCACACGCGACTTCCTAATCAGGCAAGACCCCCCTCTACTGACGAATCACTATCATCGACGTGGGTGTGCGTAGACGAGCGAAGATACGATCGACGATATTAAAATCGATTCGATACAGGACAGTCTAGCGTCACCTCGCGTAATACCGGGTCTAACCCCGACGATAAAATGCACAAATAACTGGAATATTCTCCGCGCAAACACGCGCATTTCAGCGCTGAGTTCCCGTCCATTTGTGTACTCATGCAGACCCGTCCTGTGTCGCTGATATAACGCTGCTACAGTACGCTAAAGAGCTATCATGGCAAACGAGAGAAAAACTGAATAGTGATGTGTTGCGTGTGTGTTTGTGTGGTGTGTGTGTGTGTGTGTGCTGTTGTGTGTGGTTGTGTTTGTGTGTGTGGCCTTGTGCGTATGGCGTGGACGGTGCGTGTGTTTTGGTGTGTATGTGGTTTGTGGTGTGTGTGTGTGTGTGTGTGTGTGCGTGTGCGTGTGCGCGTGCGTGTGCGCCGTGCGCGTGCGCGGTGCGCGTGCGCGTGGCGTGCGCGTGCGCGTGCGCGTGCGTGTGCGTGTGCGTGTGCGTGTGCGTGTGTGTGTGTGTAGCGCGTCGTCCATTCATCATCAGGTTCGGCTATGTTCCGTGCGTGCGTGAGAAAACCCCGTAGCTGGCACTAACGAGTTCTGGTGGCGGAGATGACTATTATTATTCTCTGATCAAAACCTTATCGAATCATTATATTCAAAAACATGCTCAAACGTAAAATCTAAAAGGCTGCGCTCTGATCGGTTTTAATGATTTCGTTAAAGTTGCACGTCAATAAGTATTAAAAATCGTAATTATGTCCAATTAATTCGGCGAATTTCATAAAGAAGATTCGAGCGATTATAAATAGTCCAGTCGGATTATATGCTAAAGATTGAAGACTACAAACTCATACATAAATATATATCTTACATACTGGTACACACACACATGCGCGTCACCGCACGCACGCAACGCACACTGCGACAACGCGCGCACCACACACACTCTCTCTCTCTCTCTCTCTCTCTGTCCACTCTCTCTCCTCTTCTCTCTGTCTCTCTCTCTCTCTCTCTCTCTCTTCTCTCTCGCTGCTTCCGCCTCTCTCCGCCTCCTCTCCTCTCCTCCTCTCCTCGTCTTCTCTCCTCCTTCTCTCTCTCTCTCTGCTCTCCTCTCTTCATCGGCACACCGCGCACGACATCCACGCACACACACAGTCGAGCCGCAGGGCCACAAGAGCGCGCGACACAGGGGAAGCCACCAAGTCACGCACGCACAGCCGACGGCACGCAGCGCACGTACGAGGCACTAGCAGAGGATGAACACAGCAGGTCGCGCCGTGCTCTGCCTAGCATTCACACGAACCGCGATTCTTAACGATGTATTCTGTCCCCCCCTGGGTGTGTTCGGGCCTGGCGCGCGGAGCCGACGGCGCGCTGCACGTGCGAGGTAATAGATTTTTTTTCCGCAATACAGCCAGCACACAGTATTGCTGCTGGGGACTGACTGTGTTGCTAACCTGCTGCCTGCTGCTGCTACGACTCGTGCTGCTGGCTGCTGGCTCGCTGCTACTGCTGGCTGGTGCTGCTGCTCGCTGGCTGCATGCTGCTGCTGCGTGCTGCGCTACGTGCTGCTGCTACTACTACTGCTGGTGCCTGCCCGCTACTGCTGCTACTGCTGCTGGTGGTGGTGGTGCTATGCTGCTGGCTGTTTCTGCGCGCCTGCTTGTTGCTGCTGTACGCTCGCTGCCTGCTGCTTCTGCTGCTAGGTGTGGTGCTACTGCTTGCTGCTGCTGCTCTGCTGCGCTGTGGTGGTGTGGTGCTCTGTCTACTGCTGCTGCTGGTGGTGGTGGTGCTGCTGAAGCGCTGCTGCTGCCTGCTGGGGGTGCTGTGGTGCGTGCTACGTGCTGGTGCGTCGCTGCTGCTGCTGGGTGGTGGGTGTAGCGTCGCTGCTGGGGCTGCTCGCTGCTGCTGCTGGTGTGGTGGTGGTGGTGGTGCTACTGCTGCTGGCTGCTGCTGTGGTGGGGGTGTCTGCTGCTGCGTGGTGGTGGTGTGGTGCTTGCTGGCTGGCTGCTGGTGTGTGTGGTTGCTGGCTGCTGCTGCTGCTTCTAGCTGGCTGGTGTGGTGGTGTTGGTTACCTACATAACCATACTGACAGCTCGCTTTGTACAGGGGAAAGCTGCGATAGGTTGTGATCCGTGGCAGCTGTAAGCCTGCGTGCCTAACATGATTTTGTCCGCAATTATCACCACATGTAATGTATTTGATGGTTGCTCTAGGCCCCCGCTCGCCTTCCTACAACACATACACACTCGCCATGACACACGCGCGCGGCCAGCGCGCACACACACACACACACACAACACACACACACACACACACACACGCGCCACACACAACACACACACCACACACACACACCACCACGACTCACACCACACACACACACACAGCACAACGCACGCACACACTACACACACACACACCACACACACACACATGTCTCACACACACACACACACACACACACACACACACACACACACACACACACACACGAGACCCTCTGCGTGCAGGTCTGAGTGCGTGGTGGTGCGTGTGGATTGTTCGCTGGTTGTGGAATATTCACCATGCAGCCATCTCTCCTCGCCATCCTCCCCCTCTCTTCCTTTCTCCCCTCTCCCCCCTCCATCTCCACCTCCCTTCTTCACTCTCTCCCTGCCTCTCCGTCCCCCTCCATCTCTACTTCCCGTCTCTCCTCTCCTTCTTCCTCCCCTCCTCTCTCCCTTCCTCTCTCCCCGCGCTCTTCCCCTCCTCCCCTCCTCTCCTCCTTCTCTTTATCACTGACACGTACATTCTCCTTACAGGCGAGGGCGACCAGGACGTGGACGTCGTCTCCTCCTCCCTCCCTCGCCCTCCTCCCCTCCCTCCCCTCCCCCTCCCATCCTTCTCTTCATCACTGACACGTACATTCTCCTTACAGGCGAGGGCGACCAGGACGTGGACGTCGTCTCTGCTAACTTCCGCTCCGACGACGACGACGACGACGACGATGACGAAGACGTCGCCACCACGACGGCAACGCCCTCTATCGGCACGACGGCGCGACCGCCGACGACGGCGACCCCCACGACGACGACGACGACGACGACGGCGGCGTCGCAGGCCGACGACTTTTTCATCAGCACGACGTCACGGCCGACGCGCGACAGCAACAACGCCACGCGCTCGCCCGCGCAGTCGACGACGCGCTCCATCTTCGTCACGGAGACGATCACGGAGTACCCGCAGCGCCGCCGCTCGACCGTCATGGCGGCGCCACCCGCAGAGAAGCCGACGACGAGCACGGTGGCGCCACCTATCGGGACGGACGAGAGTCGGTCGGCAAGCGAGGACCGGCAGAGGAAGACGGACAGTGTTGGGTTGATTATTGGTATTGCTGTAGCCGTGCTCATCGCTTTGCTCGCTCTCATAGCCGTACTCTACCGAGTCTGTAGCAAGAAGGAAGGCACGTACAAGGTCGACGAGAGCAAAAACTACGGTTTCGCGCCGACAGCGGTCGCCACCACCGCGGTGGCGGCCGCACCGCAGGCGAACGGGGGCATCAAAAATAACAATGGCAAGGCAGGGAAACTACCAAAGAAGAAAGATGCGAAAGATGTTAAGGAATGGTACGTGTAGAGCTACGGAGGGGGGAACGGGGGGAACGGGGGGTGGGGCAGGATGACGGGGATCATTTTCAGTAATCTGTGATGTAAATACTTGAATATCAACATGCATGTAGTGAAGGTGCGTACGTGCGTGCACACATATGCTCCGTCATGTAACAAATGTGTGCTTTCTGATCGTGTTCACAAGCGCTATGTCAACGGTGTGTAGATTTGTCGGGAGGTGCTGTAATATGTAATGATGTTCTCATTAGTGTTTGCTTGCCAAATGATTTTAATCAAACGTGAACACACGTACGATTTTTACGAGTATTATTATTTTGAATCTCTTAGTTAAACGTGTCCCCCTTTGTTTAGTGGAAGTACATATAACTGTGCATATATGCCCACGAGGTTTTGCATAAATATAATATCCATATATAGATATACAGCGCTAGCGCAGTTACGGTATATTGAAAATGTAACGTAGTTTTTTGTTTGTTTTTAATCAACGATACACAGACTTTAGATGTGGCTGAAGGTAGATGTTAGATCCAATCACCAAGTCTGATTCAATGTCTTTTGATACATATATGTACATAATGGTAACCAAATAAGGCACTTTCAAAAGAGGACTTGAAGATTGCAGATGTTCAAACGAAGTGCAATCTTGTGTTGTAAGGTGTGTTATATGGGTCGTTAGTGGGTTGCATACGAATTCTTTGCATTCGAATTGTAAATACTAATAGTAGAACGGAGCACATTTTTATTTAGTGAAACAAGCACTCGGTATTCCCGTGGATTTCGCTAGCAGAATACTCTCGTGTGAAAACTCGGATCTTATTAATATTGAATCAGACCTGGTCAGGAAAATTTGTTGCTCGCTGTTTGATAATGCCGTTCTTTATTTCACACGAGAGAGAGAGATAGCGAGAGAGAGAGAGAGATAGAGAGAGAGAGAGAGAGAGAGAGAGAGAGAAATTATGTAATGTAACCCTGGCGGCGGGGGGAAGGGAAGTTAACGTTGACAGCTGGGCGGTCCGAGCAAGATGCCCGCCAACATGGCCGCCAGGTTACGGCTGCGTCTTCGTACGCATAACATCGCTAGCGGTGGTTCCGCATGAGAGTGGCTCGCACGCACGGTGACGCCGCGAGGGGGCGTGGCGGGCGAGTACTTGTCAACGCTGTTATCAGTAGTTTAATGTTTTAACGGAATCGATTTTTGTTTTACGACGATCTAACGAGCGAAACAGGTGAAATTGAGAAGGCAGCATCTTCGGTCAATACCAGTAGTAAACAACACGCTTGTTCGCAGAGACGTGTGCAAATAGTATTTATGACGTTTGAGCAGAAATTACGTGTCTATAACCCGCATTCGAAAAATCACAGAAATTGATTATTCTTCTAGAGAATTTGTTGACAACGAAACTAGTGTTGTGCTGTTCCATTGTCAAAAATGTCAAGCAAAATACATACATCAAGTAATTGCCATCTAACTAAAGAAAAACACAAGCAGAAATCAAAGATGTCCCCCCGAATAACCATGGTTACTAATTTATAACAAATCACAATAAACCTCAAGCATAATTGATAATAAATATTATACTAGTGATTTTTGTGTTATTGACGAAATCCGTTGTAAATCCGTAAATTGTAATCCGTAATCCGTACTCTATAATTCCGTTGTGCTGCGTTTCTTAGGGAGTTTAAAACCGCAATAATTGAATTTTTAAACGCCACCTATTAATAGCCTTTACTAATTTAATTATTCAACTTTAATCACTCACTAATTGCGAATTAAATTCCGATATTCCGTTCAGGCGACGAATTCATCACTCCGTACTTCGTTCCGATCACAACACCTGAGCCGCCGACGACGACGACGACGACGACGACGACGACGACGACGATGGCGCCGACGACAGTGAGGACGACAACGTCGCGCCCGCCCTTGCCGGATGCGCAGCTGACGCCTACAGCGCCACCTGTGAGCGTGGTGGAGCCACTGCAGGCGGGAGCACAGCTAGAGGGCTCTGGATGCGATGATGAGGAATTGTGTGAGGCGTCAGGATCAGGCAAGTATCACATAGAGAGAGGTTCGCTTACTGTAGAATGACCCTGACTCTCCTTACGCCAGTACTACCTACCCCCACAGTAGCATCCAATGCTTCATTCACCCTACCACCCCCACAGTTCCACCCCACCCACCAATAACCTTACCCCCCTACAGTCCCACCCCACTCACTCATAGCCCTACCACCCCCACAGTATCACTACACCCACCCATAATCCTACCAACCCCACAGTAGCAGTGGCACCCCAACCCTTCCTTAACCCTTTCGTGTATTGCGTCGAGGAACAGCCTTCTCAACCGCCTTGCTTGCATTCACACGCGCCCTTCCTAACAGCAGACGCCCCCCTCTACTGACGAATCACTATCATCACGTGTGTGGCGTACACGAGCGAAGAATACGAATCGACGAATTAAAATCGATTCGATACAGGACAGTCCTAGCGTCACTCCGTAATACCGGGTCTTAAACCCCGACGATTAAAATGCAAAATAACTGCGATATGTCTCCGCGAAAACCCGCGCATTTCCAGCGCTGGAGTTTCCCGCCATTTGTTACTCATGCAGACGCGCGTCTGTGTCGCTGATATAACGCTCTACATACGCTTAAAGACTATGCATGGCAACGAGAGAAAAACTGAATAGATGTGTGCGTGTGTGTTTGTGTGTGTGTGTGTGTGTGTGTGTGTGTGTGTGTGTGTGTGTGTGTGTGTGCCTGTGCGTATGCGTGTGCGGTGCGTGTGGTTGTTGGTCGTGTTGTTGTGTGTGTGTGTGTGTGTGTTGTGTGTGTGTCGTGTGCGGTGGATGTCGCTGTCGTGATGCGCGTGCGCGTGCGCGTGCGCGTGCGCGTGCGCAGTGCGCGTCTGCAGCGTGCGCCGTGGGCGTGTGCGTGTGCGTGTGCTGTGCGGTGTGTGTGTCGTAGGCGTCGTCATTCATCATCAAGTTCGGCTTATTTCCGCCTGTGCGGGAGAAAACCGCCGTAGCTTCACTAACGAGTTCTGGTGTGCGGAGATCGCTATTATTACTCTGACAAAAGCTTTATCGAATCATTATATTCAATAAACATCTCAAACGTAAAAATCTAAAAGCTGCGCTCTGATCCGTTTTAATGATTTCGTTAAAGTGCACGTCAATAGATTAAAACGTAATTATGTCCATTAATTCGGCGAGATTTCATAAAAGAAGATCGAGCGATTATAAAATTAGTCCAGTCGATTATGATGCTAAAGAGTTGAAGACACAAACTTCATACTACATATATATCTTGACATACTGGTACACACACACGCGCGCACGGCACGCACTCGCAACGCACAACTGCGCACAACGCGCGCACACACCACACTCTCTCTCTCTTCTCTCTCTCCCTCTCTGTCTCATCTCTCAGTCCTCTCTCTCTCTCTCTTCTCTCTCTCTCTCGCTCTATCTCTGCTCTCCTCTCTCGCCTCGCTCTCCCTCTCCTTCTCTCTCTCTCGATCTCTCTCTCCTCGCTTCTCTCTCATCTCTCTGGCTCTCTCTCTCTCTCATCACGGCACCACCGCGCACGACTCCACGCACACCTACTAGATCGGAGCCGCAGGGCTCACAGAGGAGCGCGCGGATTCCACACACGGGGAAAGGCCACAACACACACGTCGGCAACGCACGCACAGCACGCCACGGCACGCAGGTCGCACGGTACGCAGGCACTACAGGAGGATGAACACAGCAGGGTCGCGCCGTGCTGCTGCACTCAGCATTTCAAGAAACACGCCGATTCTTAACGATGTGATTCTGTCCCCCCCCCCCTTTGGGTGTGTTCGGGGCCTGGCGGCGGAGCCGCGGCGCGCTGCGTGCGAGGTAATAGATTTTTTTTCCGCATACAGCCAGCACACTAGTATTGCTGCTGGGGACTACTGCTGCTTGCTAACCCTGCTGCTGCTGCTGCTGCTACACTCTGCTGCTGGCTGCTGCTCGCTGCTACTGCTGCTGGTGCTGCTGCTCGCTGGCTGCTGCTGCTGCTGCTGCTGTGCTACGTAGCTGCTGCTATCTACTACTGCTGGTTGCTGCCGCTACTGCTGCTACTTGCTGCTGGTGGTGGTGGTGCTATGCTGCTGGCTGTTTCTGCTGGCTGCTGTTGCTGCTGCTAACTGCTACGCTGCCTGCTGGCTGCTGCTGCTGGTGGTGGTGCTACTGCTTGCTGCTGCTGCTGCTGCTGCCTGGTCGGTGGTGTGGGCTGCTACTGTCAGCTGCTGCTGCTGGTGGTGGTGGTGCTGCGAAGCGGCTGCTTGGGCTGGCCTGCTGGTGGTGGTGTGCTACTGCTGCTGCTGCGCGCTGGTGGTGGTGGTGTGCTGCTGCTGCTGGTGGTGGTGCTGCTGGCTGCTGCTGCTGCTGCTGGTGTGGTGGTGAGTGGTGGTGGCTACTGCTGCTGCTAGCTGCTGGTGGTAGTGGGTGTGCTGCTGCTGCTGCGTGGTGGCTGGTGGTGGTGCTTGCTGGCTGCTGCTGGTGTGTGGTGGTGGTGGCTGCTGCTGCTGCTTCTAGCTGCTGGTGGTGGTGGTGGTTGGTTAACCTTACAATAAGCATACGACAGCTCGCTTTGTACAGGGGAAACGCTGCGAACTAGGCTTGTGATACCGTGCAGCTGTAAAGCCTGCGTAGCCAACATGATGTTTGTCCGCAAATTATCAGCCTACATGTAATGTATTGATCGGTTGTTCTAGGAGCTACCCCGCTCGCCTTGCCTACACACATACACACCGCAATGGACACACGCGCAGCGGCGCAGGCGCGCACACACACACACACACACAGACACACACACACACACACACACACGCGCGCACGACAACACACACACACACCACACACACACACACACAACCACACGACACGCCACACA